TTGGTCTTCTGTCTGCTTTCATAAGGGTTGATCTAGATTATCTCCCTACTCAGTTTCTATAGTTCTTCGTCGGATCACGTCTGAATTAGATGGATGATTTCATCTTTACAAATTAGGTTCAATCACTAATCCTTTTTACTCTCCCACAATAACTTTTAGTTAGTTTCTGCCTCACATCTTCCAAATTGGTCACTTGTTTTGGACTGTAAATTGATAAATTGTTCTATGAGGGAATATGGCTTGCCAACATTTTATCTCTACAAAAAGAGCATCGTGTGTATTAATCAATTTATTTGTTGAACAAGTGCAGGCGGCCCAAGAAACAAGAAATAGCAAGGGCATTATTAATGAAATTTTTCCTAGGGTTTGTAAGTCTTCTCTTCTTTAGATAAGTGCTTTTGTCTCAGGACAGATTATGTCCAAGTTGTTTATCTTGATTGATTCAGATGATAATTCCAATGGTTTTAGCTTCCCTAAATCCATGGCCTGTTTCTCCAGTTCAAAGACCACCACAAACTTAAGATCAAAGTTGGAATGATGAGATCATTCTTACAGGAATATCCAGGTATGAAATAAACATGGATATCATAGATTAAGAGCTCACAACTTCTTTGTGTGCATAGCTAATCAAACAATGGTAAACATAATTTTAGTTGTTGATCCAATCAATTCATACATCAAGGAAAATCAAAGAAGAGATGCTGTAAAGAAAAAGTGGTGGTTTGGTGTAAAGTGGCAGATAACCCTAGCCCCCTCTCCCCTTCTCCCTTCCTCCCTTCTCCTCTTTTCCCCAATTTTCAGAGATAGAAGGTTTCCCCTATTTATCTTCATGTTGTAATGATTTTCCTCCATTCATCATAGGCGGATGCGTCTAGGCATCGGATCTCCACCTGCATTTCAGTGTTGGATCTCTACCACCATCCACTACTACATTTTACAATTTGCGAGACGAAGAGAATTTTGTAGCGCAAAGTACATTTTAGTCGCACAAATTTCAGCGCGACAGAAACTTCGTTGCGCCAAGATCGTGAAGAAAGACTATGCGCGACGAAAAAATATTGGTCGCGCAAAGTTTTGAGCGACGAAAAATATTGGTAGCGCAAAGTTTTGCACGATGAAAAACATTGGTCGCGCAAAGTCTTTAAAAAAAAATTCCCGCGTCCCATTTTTGATACCCGCCCAAATGTTTAGAGTTTTGCGCAACGAATATTAATTTTTTCTTATTATTTCTTTAATATTAATTTAATTATATTAATTTATTCAAATTTTTACTTTTAAAATTTAATTTAATTGTATGATTTTTTTAATTACTTTAATTTAAATTGATATTAATTCAATTATATTAATTTTTTCGAATTTTTACTTTTAAAATTTAATTTAATTGTATGATTTTTTTTAAATTACTTTAATTTAAATTGACATATTCAAAATAAAGTTACATATGTGTTTTGATAGCTTCCTAATCCTCAACTTTAAGCCGTTAAAGTCTCGATGATTCCAACAAAAAAAAAAAAAAAAAAAAAAAAAAAAAAATAAAAAAAAAAAGAGAAAAAAGAAGGCATAATCTCCCCTAAAATTGTTATACCATAAATCCAACCCAAACTCCAATCCTTACCCAATACTCAACCCCAAACCCCACACAAACTCAAAACTAACTCTGAAAACACATATTAATGAAAAAAATTTAAAATTTGGAGAGAATATACATTTTGGCAAGATTGAGAGTGAGTGAGAATGAGAGGGAGAAGTGAGTGTGAGAGAATTAGAGAAGATAGTGAGAGAGAGAGAGAGATGAGAGAGTGAATGGGAGTGAAAGATAGTGAAAAGAGAGATGAGAGAGTGAGTGAGAGTGAGAGATAGTGAAAAGAGAGATGAGAGATTAAGTGAGAGGAGTGAGAGTGAGAGAAATGGTGGGATTTGGGGAGAGGTAAGAGTAGAGGAGTTATTTTGGTTTTAAAAACCGGATCACTTTGCGCGACAAAAAATATAGTTGGTCGCACAAAGTTTTGTGTGACGAAAAATATTGGAATATTAGTCGCGCAAAGTTTTGCGCGACGAATACTTGAATATTGGTCGCGCAAAGTCTTAAAAAAAAATTATAAAAATAAAATAAAATAAAAAATTCCCGAGTCCCATTTTTGGTACCCGCCCAAAATTTTAAATTTTTGCAAGACAAAAATATATATTGGTCGCGCAAAGTTGTGAGCGACAAAAATATTGGTCGCACAAAGTCTAAATTTTTTAAAAATAAATAAATAAATAATCTCGCGTCCCATTTTTGGTACCCGCCCAAATTTTTAGAGTTTTGCGTGACGAACTATTGGTCGCGCAAACTTTTGAGAGACGAAAAATTGTTTTGTAGAACAATATTTAAAAAAATAATTGTTATGAATAATAAAAATAAAATAATTTTATTTTACGATTTAAAATATAAATAAAGTTAAAGCTACTTAATAAATATATATACTATTCAATTTCTTAATTGTTATACGTACAAAATAAATAAATTTAAAGCTACTTAATAAATATATATATATATATACACACCATTCAAAGATCCAACCGGCAGACTTGTTTGTATATACTTCAAGATCGTATACCCTAAAAATTGCAAAAAACAAACATTCAAAGATCTAGTAACGGGACAAAACTTTTTTATGGTTATAAATTAAAAATCACGATTTAACTGTTACTTTAACTCCGATTTTGATGATTTTTTTACAGCTACACTCCTTAACCCTATATGAATACAATGACTGAATTTGATCTTCAATTTAAACATTTACACTAGTGGATACCACAAAATCTTATGTTATATTAACGAAAGTATAAATAAACTCTTAATTGTTAGTGAATATATTTTTTTAATGGCATACGCATTCTACGAAACTAGTTTCAACGATCCAACAGTCAAACGTATTTGTTTATACTTCGAGATCATACACCCAAAAATCACAAAAAACAAACATTCAGAGATCTAGTAACGGGACAAAACTTTTCGATGGTTATAAATGAAAAATCACTATTTAACAGTTATTTTAACTCTGATTTTGATGATTTTTTACAGCTACACTCTTTGACCCTATATGAATACAATGACTAAATTTGATCTTCAATTTTAAATATTTACACTAGTGGATACCAAAAAATCTTATGTTATATTTAATGAAAGTATAAATAAACTCTTAATTGGTAGTAAATATATTGTTTTGATGGCATACGCATTCTATGAAACTAGTTTCAACGATTCAACCATCAAACTTGTTTGTTTATACTTCGAGATCATATACGCCAAAAATTGGAAAAAATAAACATTCAGAGATCAAGTAAAGAGACAAAACTTTTCAACTGTTATAAATGAAAAATCACGATTTAACGGTTATTTTAACTCCGATTTTGATGATTTTTTTGCAGCTACTCTCCTTGAGCCTGTGTGAATACAATGACTGAATTCGATCTTCAATTTAAAATATTTACATTAGTGGATACCACAAAAATCTTATGTTATATTTAACGAAAGTATAAATAAACTCTTAATTGTTAGTGAATATATTGTTTTTATGGCATATTCATTCTACGAAACTAGTTTCAACGATCCAACCGTCAAACTTGTTTGTTTATACTTCGAGATCATATACGCCAAAAATCGGAAAAAATAAACATTCAGAGATCAAGTAATGGGACAAAACTTTTCGACGATTATAAATGAAAAATCATGATTTAATGGTTATTTTAACTCCGATTTTGATGATTTTTTTACAGCTACACTCCTTGACCCTATATGAATACAATGACTGAATTTGATCTTCAATTTAAAATATTTACACTAGTGGATACCACAAAATCTTATGTTATATTTAACGAAAATATAAATAAACTCTTAATTGTTAGTGAATATATTGTTTTGATGGCATACGCATTCAACAAAACTAGTTTCAACGATCCAACCGTCAAACTTGTTTGTTTATACTTCGAGATCATATACGCCAAAAATCAGAAAAAATAAACATTCAGAGATCAGGTCATTGGACAAAACTTTTCGACGGTTATAAATGAAAAATCACGATTTAACGGTTATGTTAACTCTGATTTTGATGATTTTTTACAGTTACACTCCTTGACCCTATATGAATACAATGAACTAATTCGATCATGAATTTAAAATATATATTTTCTAACAAAAACTCAATCCGAACTACAATAATATATTTTTCTAACAAAAATCCGATCAAATCTAAAATAATAAATTTAAAGTTACTTAATAAATATATATACCATTTAATTTCTTAAGTGTTATGCATACAAAATAAAAAACAAAAATAAATTGGTTTAGGCGACGAAATGTTTGGATTACGTCATGCAAAGAATTTAAAAAATAATTTTTTTATTTTTGTAAAGACTTTGCGCGACGAAGTTTATTGTTTCGTCACACAAAGTCACTTTGAGCAACAATGTATTGTAGTCATGCAAAGTGACTTTGCACGATGAATTGTTTTTCGTCGCGCAAGACTTTAAGCGACGAAGTTTTGAGTTTCGTCGCGCAAAGTGACTATGAGCGACGAATAGTTTTTTCGTCGCGCAAAATTTGGTCGCACAAGGGTTTTTTTTTTACTAGTGATCTTTTTATGTTGTTTCTTTATGTTTGGAATAAGTCGCAGAGACTCTTTGGGTTTTCTGTATAGTTTTCACATCTCATTTGTGAAAGTTTTATTTGTATTGTAATGGCTTGGTTTTTTCAAGCTTTATATATTTTTGGTTATTCTGAGTTTACTCTCTTAGTTGGGATGCCTATGCTAGAGTTTCTTCAATCCTGAATGATCATGGAGGAGCCCCAGATTGTTGAAGTTACAACATATGACCTAACATCTTAAATAGTTACAATTGTGTAGATTAGCACCATATCTAATATCGCATTGCCCTTTTAATGTTGAAAAATGTATGGAGTTCGAATTCCTAATCTTCCTTGATCAAAATGGAATAAATAAACAAAATTAAAAAATTTACAAGGCTATCTTTTCAAAAATTGGCAATCGTCTAATCTTTGTTGGAGCGTGGACTGCGAAGTGTTTCTTTGGATCATAGAGGGCGTAGTTTATGTAAGCATCAATCTTATCTTTCTCATCTTTAGACTCTGCCTTGGTAAAGCCATCCATCCATGGAGACCAGGTTGAATTTGGAGGGGGAGGAGTTGGAGAAGGATAAAGTGGTGGTTTTGTTTGAATATTTGTTGATGCTTGTCGTGGCACATACTTGCTGCTGCTCTTGCTTTGTTTCTTCATCGTTGGATTGCTGGTTTCTTTCCTTGTCTTATTTGCTTCAAATCTCTGTTAGGAAGAGCAATAACAAGAACAAAAGAATTAAATGATATGAAATAACTGACATTCATTCAAGCAAATTGTTGCAAATTAAAAAAATAAAAATAAATAACTGACATTCATTCAATTTTCCACATTGATGGCACAATTATAACTCAAAACTGTATCTCACCCAATTTACTTCAATTAAACTGAAAGAATCTAGTAGCTGAATTGTATACTGTTCTCTCTCTAGGTAGCTTAATGTGAACTTAACAACAAAAAAAAAAAAAAAAAAAAAAAAAAAAAAAAAAAAAAATTATTACTCATTAGCAACTCAACAAAGAAACTAAGAAAAAACAACATCTATAGCATTCAAACACAAGTTTTCAAAGTAGAAGGATCCAACAACCACAGAAGAATTGTGGTGGTAGGTTTTCAAGTTTTGCTAATTAATCTATTTTTTCAATCAAAGCTGAGTACTGGTGTTCTGAACAAGGGCAAAAAAAAAACAAAAAATAAAGAGTAGAACAAACTTGTAGAAACAACACAGAGAGAGAGAGAGAGAGAGAGAGAGAGAGAGAGAGGTTTTTAACGTACCCTGTAAAAATGTGGGTTTTTTTTATGTAAGAAGAGGTGTTCGTCTTGGTGGTGGTATATATATGGAGAGTAGGGAGCAAGTTACCCAAATTAGAGGTTGAATGGGATTTGAGTAAGTTTTTACTTGTGTCACAAATAAGGTATTTACTTAGGAATACCTAATTGGATGTGGCATTGAAATTGGGTAAGAAGTGATTATTTTGGATTTTTTTTTTCCTTCTTCTGTTTGCTGAGATATATTTAAGAAGTTCTTCTGTTAATTAATTGAAGATCAAATAGGAAAAAAAAAATAAATGCAAGGGGCTTGTAACTTAAGTGGTTAAGAGTTAAAAGCTTTTATCCTGCATTCGAGGTCTTAGATTCGATTTTCCTCTCCTCTAACATCGTTTGTATAAAAAAAAATATATAATATAAAAAACCTCCAACAAAATGTTTGGGCTATCCCTTTCAATTAGCCCAAGTCCAGCCTCCAACTTAATTACCCAGCCCATACACTGTCTCTGTCTGTCTGTCTGTCTGTCTCTCCTCTCTCCCTCAAACTCTCAGGCCAGAAGAGCAGACGCCTCGTCGTATATCAGGTATGCTTCCCAAACCCAGAACCGTCTTCAAAACCCTAAGCCAACTGTTCATACTAAAATATTCCAACTCGTCTTCTTCCTGCTCTACTTCTTTGAACAATTTCAAAGCTTCAAGGGTTCTGTTTTTTGCTTTGAATTTCCCATTGATTCTTAACGATTTTCACTTGAAGTTTCGCTTTATTGTGAACATTTTTTAGCATTTGTAGTAACTCTCTGTAAAAAAAAAAAAAAAGTGAAAATGAAAAAAAAAAAAAAAAATAAATGGGTTTAAGCTTTGGGTGTGTGAGATTTAGTCCTTTTAGTCTGCTTCATGTTATTTTGATTTATCAATGTGGTAGTTTTTCTTTCTTCTTCTTTTCCTTTATTTTTGGGATAATTGTTAATTGATGGTGTTGTTGAGTCACAAATCTGTGCATAAATATTATTGGAGTTCAGCGTTTAAATCCCAGAAAACGTTTGTGTGAGATTAAATGTTGGTTAGTTTCTCTCAAGGTTGGGTTAGTATCGTGTCGAATCTCGATAATTAACAACTTGTTGAACTTTGGTTTACAGTTTTCCTCCATTCTTTCTAAGAAAAAATCGTGTTTACTGAAAACTGTGATGTTGTATGAGTTACATGTAATTCAAGGATTCTTTCACCATGTCTCCAATTTATTGACTTCGATTATATTATAGTCAGTGAATTTACGCCGAAATGACCTGTAGAATTGTATGAAGTATATGCTGGCAGTTCATTGATGACTAAATGGATAACTAAGTTCCTTGTATTTCCTATTTCAGTTAAAGACTGCTAAAGAGGAGGTTGACCTTGCATTGGTGATGGTGGAAGTGTGGTGGTCCCTATTAGCTGCGATCCCCGCAGTGGTTGCAGGACAAGCATTTCGAGTGAAGAAAAGGCGGGCTGAAGAGCAGAGATTAAACAGTGCCAGGGGGAGAGAGAAGAATTCTGATGAGATTTTTGTCTGTGAGAGGGTATGTACATCCAAGAGAATGCTGAAAAAGCTAGGTGCATTCTCAAAGGACCCAATTCCTGATACTTGTGTCACTGTATGTGGTGTGTCGGAGCTGGATGCATGTGCTGATGCATGCGCACGCACTGTTTGCGTGAACCAACATCAAGTACCTAACTGGAATGACATGTGCCTTCGTAGATGCCAGAGTGAATGTCTAAAACTCTCTTCTTCCAGTTATTCTTAGTACATTTTTTTCAACTTAAAAGAGGAATGTGTATTACAAGTCGAGTTATCATAGTGTTGGATACTATCATTTTGTGACATATTCTCCGATTATCGGCTATCAATTTTAAGAAGTTTGGACTAAATTTTTGTGCTTGATTGCTCGTAAGGCTGATTTCTGGCACAAACTTGATTGTTGATTTTGAATTACCTTGTTATATCTCTGGCGTTCAGCATATATAGGTGCTTTCTTGTCTTTGAGTTTGCAACTGATGTCGATTTAGGTGCTTGTTTCTTTAAGCTTGTTCGGCTCGCTTGGTGGGCTTGATATCAGGTATTTACACTCAAGCATAATAGTCATATTGCAAAGCCAATGTTTGTGCATCTATTAGGTTTAGATGACATTGAATTTAGCATCCCTAAATGTTTTGTTCTCATTTATTTTTGTTTTACTTTTGTCTGCAAATGGTTAATGGAACTTGTGAAATTGTTGCTCTGTGAGGAGGATAATTTCTCACTTGAAGACTTTGGCCCTTTCAAGGCCTTTCGAGAGCAGTAACACGAAGGAAGTTCGGACACTTCATGATCATATGTGTTAGGCTTTTTAATAAAGAAAGTCTGTCTTTAATTATTTCAGAGAAAAGGTAAAATGTGAGATCATTGATTTGCTTATTGCTGAATCTTCATAACTCTCCATTTTGATATAAAGTTATCAAACTGAATGAATGCAGATTGATACAAGTTTACAATGAAACAAATCTTTAAGCCAAAAAAGCCTCAACTCTACGAATTAAGCATCAAAAAATTCTTAAAGCTCTGCATGGGGCTCTTCATGAGAGACCTTTTCCTTTACCTTTTCTGCTGTCTTATGCATCGTCTCTCCCACTGCTTCGCCAGCTGATTTTGCGGATTCCTCAACTGTGTGTTTGCCTGTTTCAAAACTCTTGTGAGCTGCCTCTTTCAATTTCGCTCCCATCCCAACACCGCCAGTGCTACCCTTTCCATCTGCCTCATCTGCACCCCTGAAACTGATAAAGTAATTTGAGAAACTTGGCATCAAACTTTAAGACTTTTTGTGAAACTTTTCGAGAATAGTCGAAAATTGGGGTGCATAGGGTTGCCACACGTTAAACCGAATACCTTAGGCGATGCAATTTTTGTTGTTGCTATTTTTCTAAAATTCCATGTGAAAAGAAATGCCATCTTTGAAAAGATGGGGTGAACTTGTTACTAGTTTTTCATGAAAGTAGCAAACTTGCAACAGAAGCACTTACTCTAGATTTGGAGGGGAAAATTGCAATTGCATATCACTTATGATGGTTTTGACTTTGTCCCAGGCATTTTGATGAGACTTTTGCAGGACAGAAATTGTATCATAGAGCACATTGACTGTATCTTGCATTGTTTTTCCAAATGTAGTCTGCTCTTGCTCATTCTTCTCAACCTGTTGTTGTCCTTCCCCGATCGTCGACGGAATCTGAAGTGAGACGATGATGAACCAAAAAAGAAACAGTGCGGTTCTTCTGCTAAATTTGTCCATGCCACTAAATTTGGAGGATTGTTAAGAGTAGGGGCTCAACTGGGTCATATCAAAGGTGGTTTTGTACTTGGGAGTTGTTTCAAATTTGAACACTTTCTAGGCTTCTAGCCAGTTACATGTAATAAGGTAACGTGGGGTTACCTTCTTGCATGTAGGATTCCACATTTGAACGTGTCAAATCATGGTTAGAGATGTAATATTACAACAGAAATGTAGCATTAATAATTTATGGCTTTCTGACCAAATAAATATATAAATATATAAAATAATTTATGGCTTGCAATTTATATTGACTGCGCGGAAGGAAGTTTACAAAATAACTAATCATGTGGATCTCTAGCATGTTAATCTGATCTGAGAAAAAATAACGGAGGAAGGAGAGCAAGATTAATATTTTATAGTACTAATAGCAATTTAATCTGATGAAATAATGCTGTCACCCCATCTTTAATAACAACGGAGAAAATTATGGTTAGATTGTGTGTCCAATACATTGACAAAACAATGAGATTATTAAGGACTAGCCTCTTTGCCCGCGCATGCGAAAAACTTTTTTTAATCACACGAGCTATGCGCGACTTACAAAGTTTCTTTTTTTATTTTTGCAATTGTATTTTTCTAGATGATCATCTTAAAAGTTTTTTTTTATCTCCCTTATTTTTTAGATATTCGTCTCAACAGTTTACACTCAATAAAAGAAAATAAAGAAACTGTTGAGATGAACATCTAGAAAATACAAGTGACAAAAAAAAAACAAAATTTAAGACAACCATCTAGAAAAATACAATTGCAAAAATAGAAAAAGAAACTTTGTAAGTCGTGCATAGCGTGTGATTAAAAAAATGCCTCCAGAAGGATAGTCTAATGAATTTTGGGAGCTAAGACGATTCATATTCTATTGATATTAGAAACTTTAAGTTTGAATAATTGATGAAAACAAAAGTAAGTCTAAAATTGGATGTGCAAGTGACATCAATCCTATCAAAAGAAAGTCAGATATTAATAGGAATCTAGAAAAATACAATTGCAAAAATAATTATAAAAAAAAATAAAAAAAAAGCCTCTCACAAGTGGAAGTGCGTGAAGAAAAGATAGTGTAATGTAACAGTAGCAAAAGTCACAAATTTTTATTTTTAATTTTTTACACAAGGGTCACATGAACACTTTTAAAAGCAAATTCATAAATAAACACTAGGCCCTTGGCACATAAGTCAATTGGTTTTCTTTTTTCTTTTTTCTTTTATTTTTAGAATTAAAAAAAAGATAACATGGGTAGTTATGTTCCATAAAAGTAAGACCTATTATATGATTTTGTTTTTAATTTTAATTTTTTAATATAAAAAGAATTTATCATATTATCCTCATTTAATTAATAATTTCAATTCTTAATGTTTGAATTAACCAAAGGTATTTTCTGGTATTTTAAATGTTTCACCATTCTCTACCTTTTGCTTTATATATATATAGATGAAAGAAAAGGTAAAAGAGTGTTTTAATTCACAAAAAAAGTTGTGCCTAATCACACCATTTTTTATTATAATTTTCTTGAATATTTCACTCAAAGAACGTGTGCTTTGGCAACACAATATTTTGTTATTTATTCTTTTCCATTTTTTTTTGTTTATTGGCTGCATTTGATTGTTTTGCCCCATTTATATTGGATATTTTTGTTTTGGTGTTTTTTTATTTATTAACAAAGCGTATTTTTGGAATTTTGAATATTTTACCATTCTCTATCTTTTGCTTTATATATATACTAGCATCTCCGAAAACGCTTCTGGGCTTGCGAGAGGCTTTTTTTAAAAAAAAATTAAATTTATTTTAGAATGAAAAAAGATAATGGGTGGTTGTGTTCCATAAAAATAGGATCCATTATCTTATTATTCTTTTAATTTTAATTTTTTTTAATATGAAAAGGTGTGAATTTACCATATTATCCTTATTTAATTAATAATTTCAATTCTTAATATTTGCATTAACCAATGACATTTTTTGGTATTTTAAATGTTTTACCATTCTCGGTCTTTTGCTTTATATATACTAGCCCCTTGGCAGAGCATATGCCAATTGGGTTTTTTTTTATAAATTTATTTTTAGAATTAAGAAAATATAACATGGGTAGTTCTGTTCCATAAAAGTAAGATCTATTGTAACAACCTTATCATAAATTAATATTTAATTATTAATTTATTCAAATAAAAGACGATTTTACCCTGAGAATATTTTAATAATTTTAAAAGTTGATAGGGTTCGGCTCAGATTCCAAAGTGGAATTTGGGTCTGGTCCTGTCATCTATTATCTGAATTTATTTATTTATTTATTAATTTTTTTAAAATTAAAAAAAATATGAATTTACCATATTATCCTCATTTAATTAATAATTTCAATTCTTAATGGTTGAATTAACCAAGGGTATTTTTTGGTATTTTGAATGTTTCACCATTCTCTACATTTTACTATATATATATATATATATAATAATGTATAGAATAAAAATGGATTTTATGTTAACGATATCTATCCTTTAACAATGTATAGATATGAAGTTTAGTTTGTCATAGGAGTGGGCACGGTCCGGTTTGGACCGGTTTTTGACTCAAATTAGAACCGAATTTGGTACTATTCATCCAGTTTGGTCGGTTCGGTTTTATCAAAAAAATTTCAAAAACTGTCCACTTTAGGTTGAACCGATTTTAGTTCAATTTTGAACCGAATTATTAAAATTATTTTTTAATACAAATTTCGACTTAAATTTTATTTTATTTTACTTGAAAATTAATAAATGATTTAATTTCATATAAAAATAAATATTAAAGCTAGAAAAGAGAGATGTTTTGAAATTGAACTTGGATAAATATTAGTTATGAGATTACACATATAGCATTGAATATAAATAAATATTGAAATTATATATTTTTTAATTTGACCGATTCGGTTCTGCCCGGTTCGGTTTTTGATTAGTTGTTGACTTTTTGGTCAACTTGGTTTTTTTTCTAGTTTTTTCCGGTTCTGTTCGGTTCAGATTTCCGATTTGCCAGTTTGAATGCCCACCCCTAGTTTGTCATACTTTTAGTGAGAAAAAAAAATAACAATGAAGATGATGCAATAAAAATTGACCTTTTGCAAAATATTATATTTATAAATAGAAATAAATCTTTTTTTTTAATTAAGAAATTCTGGGATTGCATTTATAATTCAGTCAAAAAAGTCAACCACAAAAGACCGATACAAACTAGCCATAAAAGGGCAATAAAAATCAACCACATAAGGCCATTACAATAACAGAGCTATATCTAACATAAAAATTAAGACAATTTGGTATGTCTCCACTAACAATCACTTAAGATCAAAGAAGCTTGAAAAAAACAAGTCATAACAATACAATTCTTAATTTATGATATATACAATAAACTCTAAAAACTCAAAATCACAATATTTAAGTACGATCTATAGCATTAATTTGTTGGATAGCCTTACCTTTTTATTTATTTATTATTTTTATAGAGAAAATTGTTAATTGTATTCATAAATTAGGCACAAAGACCATCACCCACAAGGACATATACAAATGCCCACAAAAGAGTAATACAAAGATGAAAGCATAGTAACCACATAGGGCTAATACATATATAGGCCACAAAAGACCAGTGAAATTTTGGCATAAAAGCTTCATATTTGAACAAACCATTCATGAATCGCAACGCCCAAATCTACCAATACAACTTCAACTTTTAACACTCATAAGTAAAAAATACAAGCAGAGACTAGAAAACAATCAGACACCCAACTCACAAGGAGTTGATGCAATTATTACAAAGAGAAAACTGTAAACATGCAACCAAAACCAACAAAACCACTAGCGCTGTTGTTGCCACCACCACGACAGCCATCGTCGCCACCTTGGAGTCAAAGAACACCATTAAGATTTAAGGCCTTCACCCTACAACAAAACATCAACCAACAAAACCACATATCCACAAATCGTGACACAAATAACCTCCCCACAAGTAGAACCCAAAATCTAGTAGATGGGGAAAGGGAACAATAAGTAGGGAGGTAAGGAAAGAGAGAGGAGGAGAGAGGAGGAGCATGAGCTTCCTCCCCTCTCCTCGAAACACAAAATGCAAAAGAGGTTTGAGAGAGAGAGAGAGAGAGAGAGAGAGAGAGAGAGAGAGAGATTTTCAAAAAGACTTGTACTTGACAAATACAGATTGAAGAAAAATATAAAAGTGATTTCATAGATTAAAACATATGTGTAACACTAATCAATAAAGTTAGGCAATGAGGTGGAGGAGTGAGGAACGTTGTAAACAAGATATATAGCAAAAAAGAGAATAAGTATATCAAATTTAAGACGTCTATCTAAAAACTTTGAGTTCATTTATTCTCAAAGTATTTTTTTAATATCAAATCAATTATGTAATTAATTCATAGATGAGTTATTCTTCTGAAGGAGGAGAAGTTGCAGGAGAGAGATATTGTGAGAACTTAAAACATTGATCCCAAATTTCTGCACTCTTGGTCAAAGCATCCAACTTGTTTAGTTTTGGGAAGATAACCCGGCGTGTGGGAGGATAACCGGGCACCCTTGGCGGGGTGTGTCGTAGGTTCTTGGCGGGGTAGTCTATGCTCGTAGGACTTGTTTCAACCACACGTGCGATGTGTTGCCAGCATGTGTGTTGCGGTCCCCTGGTTGGACTACTCAACCCTAGTCACATGGTAATGTGTTGCTATCCTGTGGTCTAGTCAAACAATCCCATGGCTGGATTGTTTTCCCTGGTGCATAATGTACACCATGATATGTTCCTCCCTTGGTTCGATATGGATGTTATCCACACGTGCGATGTGTTGTTGGTGTGTGTGATGAGAACCGGGCACCCTGGGATGTGTCGTAAGCCTTTGGCGATGCAGCATGTGCGCATAAGACTTCACACAGCCACACGTGCGATGTGTTGCCGACGTGTGGGCTTGGAGGAATAGTCCCCTGGTTGGAGTGCTTATCCCTAGTCATTGGGTAATGTGTTGCTATCCTACGAATATTTGACATGAATTTTGGATTTGACAATGGACTTATGGTACTTTGAAACATAGGCCTTCGATAGGGTATGGTTGTGGGAAAAAAGGGATTCTGCTTAATTATGTATGAAAAGGATTTAAGGTTGAGAAATTATTTTTGGAGAAGTTTATGAGTTTGAAACGGCTTGAGTAAAGGGGTTTATTATTTTACAATGTTCTCCAAGAAATTTAGATTGCATTTAATATATGGTTTTAATTATAGTTTGTTATGATATGAGTCTATTGAATTGAGGTTTTTCAAGTTTCGGATTATACATATATATATATATATATATAAGTAGACAAGGATTTTATTACATGGTATTATTTTCTAAAATAGAGGGGGTTATTTATGTTGAATATAATTTATGTTTAAAGCTTTGCTTTTTGTCTACCCACATTTTCTGTTTTTGCGCCCCCAGGTTCTAGATATCTGAGGTCGAGACCACCACATCGAGGCATCATCATTGTTCGCTCTGTAAGCTCGCAACATAGGAACTTTCCTTTAAATAGGTGATGAGGTGGAGGAGTGAGGAACGTTGTAAACAATATACGTAGTAAAAAGAGAATAAGTATATCAAATTTAAGGTCACCATCTCAAAACTTTGATTTCATTTATTCTCAAGTATTTTTCAATATCAAATCAATTACACAATTAATTGAGAGACTAAGTTATTCTTCTGAAGAAGGAGAAGTTGCAGGAGAATATTATGAGAACCTCTTCATGCCTGACCTCAGTGTAGCTTCTTAACTTCTGAGGCACTTAAAAAAGATATTAAAAATGGAATTTTAAAGAGGAGACGGGAACTCTTTGACAAAAGAGTGTCTTCCTGCGTTTTTTGGTGTGAAACGTGTTTTCACTAGTAAACCCTTGTTTTTATTGGAACATTGAGTCCAAATTTCTGCACTCTTGGTCAAAGCAACCGTCTTGTTTAATTTGGCAAGAGGGCCCGACAGAGCTTGGTTCACTAATGCAATGTGGCATGATTGACCCATTAATACAAGCTCAGTGCAACAACCATCACTAATAGACCATTCCTTAATTATTGTAATGACTATTTCTTTTCCACACCCGCCATGAAGCCTTGATTTGCATTCCTCTAAGAACTTAAAATTTGATGGGGCAGGTGCCTGGGTTGCAAGTCCTGGCAAAATCATCATTGTTGCAATCACGAAAATCCAGACTGCAGAAGTTTGATAACCAGTGAAACTTGCCATTTTTTTTGTGTGTTTTAAAAATATACTTTGTTGCCAACGAAGCTGTAGAATGGTGGGGAATCTATAACAAGTGTGTCTTTTTATAAGTCTAGTGTTATTGATGATGTGAAACGCATTTACAATGAAGAACATATTTGGTAGTATAACTCCAAACTAAATTGTAGATTAATTCAATGAACGCATATTTGGTAGTATTTAACGGTAGACTTATAAGCTAAAATGCGTTCATTGAACATGTTTGTAATTCAATAAAGAACATATGTGTTATTGATGATGTGAAACGCATCTAACGGTAGATTAATTTAATCTCATTCATTTTAGATATTCATGGTTTGTATATGCGTTTTATGGGTTTATGAATGAATTCATTTAGATTTTTTTTTAAAGTAAAAAAAAACCTATTGTTGTCGGTTCTTGTGCAACTTAAGAATAACTCAAGCTTGAATTATATATAAAGCTATTGGTTAAATGAAAACATTTAATTGGAAAGCATTTATATTTGACTAAAAACCTTTGGAAATTTTGTTACTTTGTAAATTGTGAAGTCTCACTTTACACAAAAATTTATATTTATTGTTTTCTGGTACATAAGCTAATCGCAATTGAGTGCTAGTTCTATTATTCAACATGAACATGTCATAGAAATTTGTTCACCCTAAGAATAAAAGAAAATGAATTTGAGAAAAGTAATGGTTAATTAATATTTCATGTTTACATAAGATAGCTAATATATATAGATATATAGACACACACGCGTGCACACATAGAGTAGCACTGAATCGCTAAACAAATTGGTAAGATAATATGGCGCTAACCAATCGTTTGGAACAATGCCACAATGCAAACTCATGATTTGAATTGTTCATTTTTAGAACCTCATACAAGGATTATGCTTGATTTTCAGACGGATCACGGTGTTTGACGCACTCTTATTAGTGGTGCGACAAAAGGAAAACTCAAGTTTTAATTATATATCAAGACGTTGGATAAACGAAAATATTTGACTGTAAAACCTCTATATTTTATTGAGAACCTACAGAATTTGTGTTACTTTATAAATTGTGAAGCCTCATTTGACTCAAAACTCATATTTTTATCCCTTTTTATATAAAATAAAAATAAAAAATCAAAGAAGACTTTCATTAGATAAACTTCAATAATACACACCAAACCCAAAAGGAAAAAAAAAACTAAAGTGGACAAACTTCGCACCAAAAACTACGATAGCCCACATCACCACCATTTGCAGGATATTATATTTATAAGTAGAAATATATCTTGTTTAAGTGATTCATAAAATAATATAATTCATAATATATGATATAGTGTTTCCTATAACCTCTAAGAACTAAAAATCACAATATTTAAATATGATATATAAGCATTTATTTGTAGGAGCGTCTTGGCTTTTGTAACTAAACTGAAGATAAATATGAAAGTGATTTCATCCATTAAAATATATGTGTAACACTAATCAATAAATTTAGGCGATGAGTTGGAGTGAGGGGCGTTGTAAACAAGATATGTAGTAAAAAGAGAATAAGTATATAGAATTTAAGGCATCAGTCTCAAAACTTTGATTTCATTTATTCTCAAGTATTTTTCAATATCAAATACATAATTAATTCAAAGACTAATTATTCTTCTGAAGAAGGAGAAGTTGCAGGAGATAGAAATTGTGAGAACTCAAAACACTGATTCCAAATTTCTGCACTCTTGGTCAAAGCATCCAACTTGTTTAATTTGGAAAGAGGGCCCGAAAGAGCTTTGTTCACTAATGAAAAATGGCATGATTGACCCATTGACACAAGCTCCATGCAACACCTATCACTAATAGACCATTCCTTAATTATTGTAATGACTATTTCTTTTCCACACCCAACATGAAGCCTTGATTTGCATTCCTCTAGGAACATAAAATTTGATGGGGTGGGTGCTAGGGTTGCAAGTCCTGGCAAAATCATCATTGTTGCAATCACAAAAATCAAGATTGCAGAAGTTTGATAACCAGTGAACCTTGCCATTTTTTAATTTAAAAAATATATATTTTGTTGGCAACGAAGCTATAGAATGGTGGAGAATCTATAACAAGTTTGTCTTTTTATAAGTCTAGTGTTATTGATGATGTGAAACGCATTTACAGTGAAGAACATATTTGGTTGTATAACTCCAAACTAAACTGTAGATTAATTCAATCTCATTCACGTTAGATTTTAATGGTTTGCACACTCATTTTATGGGTATTAATTTAGATTTAAAAAATAAGTTAAAAAACTATCGTTGTCGGTTCTTGTGTAACTAAAGAATAACTCAAGCTTGAATTATATATGAAGCTTTTGATTATATGAAAATATTTAATTGGAAAGTATCTATATTTGACTGAAAAGTTTTTACTTTGTAAATTGTGAAGGGTTACACAAAAACTTATGTTTATTGTTTTCTGGTACATAAGCTAATCGCAGTTGAGTGCTAGTTCTATTATTCAACATGAACATGTCATAGAAATTTGTTCACCCTGAGAATAAAAGAAAATGAATTTGAGAAAAGTAATGGTTAATTATTATTTCATGTTTACATAAGATAGCTTCTGTATATATAGACACACACACGCGTGCACACATAGAGTAGCACTGAATCGCTAAACAAATTGGTAAGATAATACGGTGCTAACCAATCATTTAGAACTATGCCACAATGTAAACTCATGATTTGAACTGTTCATTTTTAGAACCTCATACAAGGATTAAGCTTGATTTTTAGACAGATCAAGGCATTTGACGCACTCTTATTTGTGGTGCGACAAAAGGAAAACTCAAGTTTTAATTATATATCAAGACGTTGGATAAACGAAAATATTTGACTGTAAAACCTCTATATTTTATTCAGAACCTACAGAATTTGTGTTACTTTATAAATAGTGAAGCCTCATTTTACTCAAAACTCATATTTTTATCTTTCTTTAAAATATAAAATAAAAAAAATCAAAGAAGACTTTCATTAGATAAAATTCAATACAGTACTACAAAAATGGAAAACCACGACGCCTCTTTAATGGCAGTAAAACTAAAAAGTGTCGTGTTTTTAAAAATCATGAAAAACCAGGACGGTTCCATTTAAAACGGTCGTCCTTTAAAACGAGCTCGCAAAAATTACGACCGTTCCTTCTAAAAACTGTCGTGTTTTAAAATGCGCTAGACAAAAATTTCACTTAAGTTTTAAATTTTCACGCGCAACTCTCTTTCTCTAATAGTCTCTCTCGCGACCTTTTCAAAAGCCCTCTCTTTCTCAACTCCCTTTCTCGTCCCTGAAACACCATCTCCATCGTGCCGTCTTGGTTACCAATCTCGCCATCCATGTCACAAATATCGGCATCGAGTTCATTGAGGTCGTCATATCCCTTGTGTCCAGGTCACTGAGGTCACCATCTTCACGAGGGCACATCCATGTTCTTCGCAATGCCCTTCAAGGGGCCTCTCTCGAGCCCATTGGTCTCTTTTCCTCCAAGCTTCCCCTTATCTTCGTCGACAAATTTGAGGTTTATTTTTGGTCTTTATCTGACTTTTGCTTGGGCGATTCAGAGATTTGCAGGCGACGCTTATCGGTGGTGGTTATAGGTCGGATCGTCGTGGTGTGATAACGATTCTGTTAGCCTTCGTGATTGGGTCCAAGTCTGGCGACATCTAGTTGTGAGTGTATATGTGCTTCTGTTTTCGATTTATTTTATTTACTTATTTAATAATTCTTTTCTGTTTCCTGCCATTTTTGTTTCATAGAGCATAGATCTGCTTAGGTTTTATACAAAATTTGTTCATCTTTTCCTTTACCTGACAAGACCCCGCCCCGAATTTCCTCGGAATCTGGGACGGACCCACCCTAATTACCGACATCAACCCGATGCCGGGCCCACTTACTAAAGATTGAGACTTCCTACAAAAAATTTGGCAGTCTCCCCTGTAAATTGAACATTTCCAAACTTCAACCTGTTCAAAATTTACAGTTAATTACAACCAACTGGCAGCATGCTTTAAAAGCAATAAAACAATTTACAACAAAGGCCTCCGGCCTCACAAAGTTAAACCCTCAGCGGGCAATACAGAGCATATCTAAGGAATTCAAAATACAACCGAAGTACCGTGTAACTGAAAGGAAAAAGCACCAAGAGTCTCTACAAAGACTCGAGTTCCAAGATGCACCCGGTCCGGCTCAACTGCAGAGCTCAATCGCTACTGGATGGGGGGGCGCAAAACAAAAAGTTGTGAGTGGACAAAAATCAAGTTCAGTTTAGGCGAAAACAAAGTAGTATAACCCCCACCTTTATCAAAAACATGAAATGAAACCATAAGCATAACAAAACCATCAGAAACAGTATGTAAACATATACTAACACATATATACCGGATCTTAAATCCGTAATCCGTGAATAATGCTTCACGAAACCCACCACTCAACTTAAGAGTCCCGAGAGATTAGACTCTCGTAAACGTACTCAAAGGTACGACCGGCGAGGAAGTATCCTTACCGAAAAATAGAACGAAGGAACACTCATATATATAGATATATATATATATATACATATACATACATAATAATAATATGATATAACATAATAATAATAATAATAGTATATAAAGATAACCAATATTTAATTGTACCAAGGAAACAATCCAACCGGGGGACTGTTTGACTAGGCCACATGGCATAGCCATTCCTCAATTCACCATGTGTCTAGGGAACGAGCCGTCCAACTGGGGGACTAACTCTCAGCCAGCACGTACAGCCGACACAGTCAAAGCTTGTACGCCTAAAATACCAGTCCTACGCGCGTAGACTACCCCAAATCCAGGGTCCACAGCAACATCCCCTCAAGGATTTCCTGAGTTCTAATAACTCCAAAAGTATCCAATGTTCGTAACCAAATTCAAATAAGGGGAGGTACATAAATTAGTGCTTAACGCACTCCAAATAACAGATCCAACATTACCTTTCCATAGTTCATATTA